GGTGTCCTATTTATCTGCACCTCTCTCTCCCCGCCCTCTCCTTCCTTCCCCTGCCCACTCCCTGGGCAGCACAGTGGTCAGGGAAGGGCTGTCCCTTGGTGCTAGGCAGGGGGCAGGACCTGCATGCTGGTATTCAGCACTTCTGCCTTTGCATCGAAGGGGAGCAGGCTGCAGGCTCTGAGGACTGGGAGACACAGAGGATCTCAGCTATGAGGCCGGGCAGGCAAGGTAAATCTTCTGCCTGGCCTTGGACTTGGAGTTTGTGCAGCTGCTGAGGCTACCTGGTTGCTTTCTGGCTTGAGGGTAGACGTCCCTTTCTTTGCTTCCTGTGCTGCCCCTGGGCTCTGCTCTCACCTGCGTGCAGAGGCATTTGCAAGCAGCCAGTATCACTAGGGAGCAGAATCGTTTTTTTTTTTTCTTTCAAACTGTGAGCAGATTTATAGTCTGGTTTCCTGTCAGATCTTTGCATTTTCCTCCTTCGCCCCTCCCAGCCTCTGACACACTTTTTCTTACTTTCTGTGTCGTCCTTTGTTCATTCCGACACTGGTGCGTTTGCCTCCCGAGTCTCTCTGTTCCCCCTCTCCTCCCTCAACCCCTGGCTCTTCAAAGAGTCCTGGCCCTTTCCCTTGCACGGCTCACCTCACTGGAGCTCCTGGGGAGGGGAAAGGACAAGTGCATGGAGGCGACCTAGCGACCTTCACCCTGCAGCAGCTGCAGCCCAGCCGCGAGCTCGGTCACTCATGAGCACCCAAGGTAAGGAGAGCGGCCCAAAGGCCAGCACCACCCCACTGGCAGCAGGGACAGCACCCGCCTGATCCTGGCAGCTTCCAGCTTCACTCTTTTTTCTTCTTGAATGTCTTTGCTCGCGTCTGTGCAGGCTCCACAGGTCTTGTTCCACTCCGCAGACACAGGTACTTGAAGCCCAGGTTGCAGAGAAGGAGCAGACAGGCCCACAGTCACAGGGGCAAGAGCTTAACAAAATGTCACGGGGTGGGGAGAAGGGAAGGAAAGTGACTGGCTCGGGCTCCCCATGTGCTGTCTGCTGGGGGCTCACGCTTTTCCTAGGAAGCAGTAAGACCTTTCTGAACACGTTCTCCCTCTGTATTGCTTCTTCCCGCTTCCTTGGCTCTGCCTCCTTTGGCCGTGGTGTGTCTCTGGGTAGCTTCTCACCACCTTTTTGTCCATTTTCCATCAAGCTGCAGCTCTGATTTAGTTAGTCTATAAGGTGCACCTCTATCCTGACCTCCGACTATCCCGGCTAGCTACCTTTCTCCCACATGCATAATTGTTCACCCTTCCCCCTCTGTGATTTCCTCCTTTTCTCTCGTGTTCCCCTTTCCCATCTCTTCAGTGGCTTCTCACATGCACTCCCACTTCCTACCCCCCATCTCTCCCACACGCTGCTGCCCGCTCTGTAGAACACCCTTGCCCCACTGCTGGTGTCTCCCCCCAGAATACCACCTTGCCATGCTCCTGCTGCTTCCCTGCATCCCCATCCTCACTTGCAGCATCAGCTCAGGAAGCTCCTGCCCCATGATAACCACTGGCACATGCCTGCAGGCTCCTTCCAGCTCGCACTCTTCGGCCACCCCCACAGCCCATCGTGCACAACAAACAGCCTCCTGCCACCCCCACTTTCTCTCACACCGACACATGTGCGGCCTTCTCGTACCTCCGTTATCTCTCACCTCCCTTAACACACCAGAGCCACATCTCTGCTCATATTTGCACACCAGTGCAGCCTCTGATGGCTCTCTCTCCCCACAAATGTTCGTTCTGCTTCCCCCCCCCCCC